ACCTGTGGGTCGGGACCCCATTTGGGGTCGATCGACCATTTCATGGGGGTCGCCAAGCAAGGCTGTCCGCCATTTTTTTTGTCCGCCATTTTTTTGTCCGCCATTTTTTCCCCCTTTTCCGGCGGGTGCCTTACCTCCCTTGGGCTGGGCCAGCTGGTGGTCGGCCTGCTCCGTCTCTGCCGCTTGCCAGCTACGCCTCAGCCGGCGCAGGGGGCAGAACCACGCATGCGCGGCGCTCCTGGGCAGGGAAAGTCCTCGACTTACGACCGGTTGGGTAGTCCTCGACTTATGACCGGTTTAGTCATCGACCTACGACCGGTTTAGTCCTCGACTTATGACCGGTTTAGTCCTCGACTTACGACCGGTTGGGGTCGCGGCATTAAAAAGGTTGAGAACCACTGTCTTAAATGCATTCATCTCCTTAGTTTCTTTTTCCAAACTGGCAGGGAGAAATAATAAATAAATTTATATCTCTTGCCACTGAAACACATCTTTGACTGGGAAGAGAACACTGCAAATTCTAAGAAAAATATTAAATTTACTACAAAATGAAGATTCTCATTCATCTATTCCAGAGTACTACTAAACTCTAATTGGTATCATCATTACAAAACAGATTTGGAATCCTACTGCTAAAACAATGTTTTAGATATATCAGGGAAAAGTTTACTATTGATTCTGGCAAATATTCTTCCCATCTTCCAAGGCCATCTCTTTCCAAATTATGTGGATTACAATTCCAATCATCCCTGTCCAGTCAGTAATCCAATCCATGTTGCAGCAAGTTGGGGAAGGTTGGACTACATCATCAGAAAACAACACTATTATCTGCAAACAGCCCATTCATTTTCTCCCCTGCTGTGCCATATTCATACCTGGATAATAGAACATATTCTACTCTTGACATAAGCTTATCTTCGCCCTTACTCTTGAAAATTTTGGTTACTGCTGTAAGGTAGCCAAGATATGTACCCAAATTCAGTTCCATCACAAGGGAAAATTAAAGTATATTGTCTGTGACATGCTAAACATCAAAGATGCTCATGTACTGCTGAAGTCCAGAGAAATTCTGGGAGAAGTCATTAATTTATCTTCAACTATTGTTATGACCTTCCTATGTACAAAAATTCAAATTAAAACATTCCTAAAAATAGTCCATCCTTGGCTAAAATACATCCAGAAAAGAGATTTGCTTCTACTACTGAACTGTTCAATACCACTCATGTGGACCCAAGCCAATGTGATCTCAATTTTTAGTGACTACTACCTCATAAATCTAAAATCCGACGCAGCAGTCCCAAGAAATAGTCATGAGCAGTATTATCTGACTATAAAACCTGTGCGAATACATCAAAAGCCAACGATACAGAGAAGAGTTCTATCTACTGGAATTAATTACTTTGCTAAACTACTTGGTAACAATAATACTGCATCATACAATTACCAATGTAAAAATTCTTGGCTGTAAAAATGACTCTTCTCTTTCTGGAGTATTAGTCTAATAGAAGCCTAATAGTTTTTGAGAACCTATAATATTCTATCCACATGAACACATAGAAAAGCTCCATATTTTGCCTAATATAGTACATAAAAGATCACATAGTATATATCTTATATTTCAAATGGAATATTTTCTAGTAACAGTACCAAAAGTAAACATAAAGTTTGAGGGAGAAAAGGCTTATCTTACAAGAAGGTGAAAAGTTACTTACCCTTGGTTGCCAATTTTCATACTGTTTTTGCAAATTTGCACCAATGGTTTCTAGAGCTTTCTGTGGACCCATTGACAGAGGATCTAAGAGACATAAAAGACCTATGAGATTTTGGACAACCACATAAAATATACTGAAATAGGTTCTACATGCAAACAAAATCCATGTAGCACAGGGGTCTCCGACCTATGGTCTGCGGCCCACTGCCGGGCCATGGCCTACTGGCCACCCCCACTCATGCTAGTGCCCGCAGACCCATTTGCACATGCGCACGGGGCTAACAGCGGCGGCCGCTAGTGCCTGCGTGCCTCTGCAAATGGGGCTGCTAGCGCTGTGTGTGTGCACAGCCCCATTCGCATGCAGCCCTGTTCACGCGGGAGCAAATTTCCCAGCTGCTCCCTTTCCCCCTGGGCAGCCAGCATGAAAAAGTTGGTGACCTCTGATGTAGCATATTCTTTCTCCTATTGTAGCAAAATGCAAAGGCAGAAAATGCATATTTCTTGGGAAAAAATATTGTTGCCAGGGATCCAAGCATTTTCCCACAGCAATCAAGTCAGTTACAGGGAAATAGCAGAATCTATGGTATGCTATGGCTCTATGGAAAGCTACAAAGAACCAACACTGGATGGAATCAACGGAGGAGCTGGTACCTGGATCTGACGAAAGTTGGGAAGTATGGAAATCACTGAATAAACTGTGCACGGGTACAGTAAGATCCAGAGACACTCTAAACAAATGGGGCTATCTGGATGCTTCTGCTCTTTGCAATTGTGGTGATATGTAGACAACAACACATATGTATGACTGCCTTTTGTGCCCCAATCAGTCTGCACTTGAGGACCTTGTGGCAGTGCAACAGAACAATTAATGTTGCTAGTTTCTGGGCAAGATCTGTTTAATTTGCATATATTTTAATCTTGTATTTTATATTTTAAATTTTATGTCATATAGTATGCCTTATTTTAATTGTAATGCTTCTGACATGAATAAACAAACAAACCAGAATCTAAAATCAGAACTGTAATTTGTTCCTCCTTATAGAGTGTAAGTAAAATGACATTGGCAGAAATATGCAAAAACAATTACCTAAGCAAAAGGGGATAAAACATTTTTTAAGTCTAGAGCAATGAGATAATATCTGGAAGCAACTCAGGCAAATGCCTTGCCAATTCACTGGCATATAAGAAGAGGGAGGAGGGATAGTTTAATCAGACTTGCACGATTCTGTTATTATAGCTATTCTCAATAAAAGTAGCTGGAGTTGGTTTCTTTACCTGGTCTACTTAGTAGGGCTGATATTTCTGGAAAAATGCAATAATCCCCAAACTGAGATTAGAAAGAAAGCCATTTCAGTTTTTTTTCTCTAAATTAATTTCACACAAGGGCAAAAAGTTAATTCTTTGTCTGTTAGTCCAAGTCAGTGCCCTGCATACTTTTATTTAATAAACAAATTCAAGCATGAAGGAGACAAAATAAATATTAAACACCATTTCAAATTTGGCTGTAGTTTGAGTTATAAATGAACAAAAACAGACATTTGAAATATCTTTCGACCAAAACAGTTGGTTCATTGGACCATTTATTTTTTTTGTAGAAACAACAAAAATTTAATTTCACATATTTAGTAATATAATTTTAGTAATATAATTTCAGAACATTGCAATTCTGACAGGCATAATATTAAGTTTTTTTTGTGTGAGGTCAATCTATTTCGTAAAAGAACAAAGAGTAGAAGGTAATATTTGTAAATATATAATACTTTTCTGGCCAAATCCAAATATGTCAAAAGATACACAACGCAAAGCAATCTCTTGTTCTACTCTTCTCATATTTCATTGAAACAGAGGACTCTGGAGAAGTCTATGGTCAGGTAGAATCAAGGCTGCTACTGCAGTACAATAATTGAATCTGGTATTGGGGTAAATTGTGTTGAAAACAATACAATTTTCAAGAAAAAAAAGCTTCTCATGAAAAATTATCCATGATTTATAGTTTCTGAGAAAATATTTTAAAACCATAGCAAATAAAACTATAGAATGGGGAAAAAAACTATGCATGGTCTTCCAATGATTGTCTTTCCCTAAATTAATGTCTACATTTCTTATTTCTACAAACCAGTCAAGTTTGACTACTTGGTCTCAAGAGCAGGCAGACAATGAAAACCCATTGGTGAATTCTCCATCTCCTGTACTGGAGAATTAAACATTGTAATTGTGAATGTATTTATTTCTAACAAAAGGCTTCCTCCAATTGAATAAATTGAATAAATAAATAAATAGGACTAGCATATTACCAGATTTTCAGGAAAAACAGAATTATATCACATGAATAAGTTACCATACAATTAGCATTACCTTGCACAGCACATAGTCCCAGGTTCAGCTAACATAATTTTTCAAAACTATACAATTTTCACCAGGAATGCAGTTGGCAAGAGAAGGGTTAATACTCCTTTTCTCTACGTTCTCCCTGTCACCAGATTTTGTTGATCCACAGGACATGATCCAATTCAGAGTACACAAAGCACCTCTCATGTGCCCCCACCCCTTGTGTTATCATAGAAGCAATGTCACATTTATTTCAATTTTCAAGGCAGGGAACGATTCCTCTCCATCCTCTTTCCAGTAAGCAATAGAGAAAGCTAATACAGGTTTGATTTACTGTATGTATACCTGGTCAAGTATTTAACAGTCCGTTTTCTTCTGGATATGTCAGCTACCATTTTGGCTCAAACAATAGATATACAGTACATTGCTGTCATTATATTCTATATTCATACTTCCTATTTGTGGGAGGTATGATTATGTGGCCAGCTCCTTGTCTCTCTCTGTCTTCTTAAGCTGGCTGAACATAATCCTTCCATTTGTTTTGCTTAGCTTTCCATGAAATTCATTTGAAGTGAGTGGAAAGATTGCATCTCTTTCTCCTTCAGTGTGTCTTCTCCAGAAACCTCACTGATCTCCACTTCATCTCTTCTGGTCTCTCTTCATCAACAATTCTTCGAAATGAAGGAAGGCGAATATACGTGTCCCAGGATAATGTTGCAGGATCCAATTTGGATCAGTCACCGGGACTAGAGGTTTTGTCTTCCGAGTTTTCGGAGCCCATCCTAAGGGAACCTCTCTCTACAAGAGTGTGTCCTGTTTTGTGTGGTATTTATAGTGCCTGTTGCATGTGACTTTTTAGATATTGATTGGGGTGTGTTGATGGCTGGCTTTTAAGTCATTAAGTCATTGCTTGTGCTGCCCAGCACTCACCTTCTAAGAACTTGATAGGCTGATGGTACATCATTATTGAACTTATATAACAGTAAAGAATCTTGAACATCAAAGAATCTTGTTTGTATTTCTGTAAATTAGGCAAGAGGTAGGTTTAGCTGATAACTCTTAACATTTCAGTTAGGTTTTTATTTCCACTTTCATGACTGCCGCTTTGCCTAAAGAGGCTTAATCCACCCAAAAGATTTTTGCCTGTTGATCATAGCAATGTATTAACTTCAATGCTATGATCTTTATAACCTTTTTCTTTGAGGAAGAAGAAATAGGGTCTTGGTTCGTGACTATCAAGGCTGCTTGATAGGAGAATGTTAATATATGCCAATATGATTTGGCAGCCAGTCATTTTAGGTGATGCTGCATGGCGCCTTGAATAATAAAAAAAAAATCCCTCCTAACCTTTGTTACTGCAAATCATAGGAAAATCTGCTGCTTCACTTATGCCTTTAAACCTAACAGTAAGTATACAAGAAAAACAGTTTTAATGGAGTTAAGGATCCTGTAAAAGAAGGGGAAATCTGTGTGCTTCATTGATTATTTTGACTGTATCAACTACATCAAGCTGTGAATAGTGCTGAGAAAAATGGGAATCCCAGAATATCTCATTGTCCTCATGACAATATACATGTCAGGAGAGCCACAATACAAACAGATCATGGTGAAATAGATTTGTTCTATGTTGGCAAAGGAGTGACTAAAGGTTATATACTCTTCCATTATTTACTCAATCTATATGTTGAATATATTATTAAGTGAAGCTGGATTCAAAGAAGATGAGGATAGTTTTAAAAATGGAGGAAGAAATATCAATAACCTGCACTATGCTGATGACACTACTTTGATAGCTGAAAATGCAAAGGATCTACAAGAGCTAGTAATGGAATTAAAACAGAATAAAAAAAAATTGACTAAATGTAAATATAATTAGCTAGCGCTTGGTACAGCAGCCATGAAGGCCTTAGAAAAGGTATTCAAATACCATGATGTGTTTATACCTACAAAGATCAGAATTGTGCAAGCCATGGTATTCCCTGTGACACTCCAGAGAATTAAAAACTGGACTTTGAAGAAGTAGGATCAGAAGAGTATTGATGCTTTTGAACTTTGGTATTGGAGAAGACTCATGAGAATACAAAGAGAGATGATACCACCTCTCTCCTGCTTACAACACAATCCATTCAGCAGTTCCAAGAAGTTTCCACACCCATTTCTGCTATTAGATGACCCACCTCCAAGTGGCCTCCACAACTCTCAGAAAGAGTGCTAATGACCAGATGACTGCAAAGAATACAAATCCTTCCATCCTCCACCATTCAGTCACAACTGAAGAAGCTTCTTGGATGAAAAGCAAAAGTCTTCAAGGAAAAACAAAGCCCAGTTGCCTTTTGAAAAAGCACCCTTGCAACAACCATGACCTAGAAGATGACTAAGAATCTCCATAGATATGGATTGACTCAATTACAGAGACAATGAATACAATGAGTACACCATTGGAAGATCTGAAAGACTAGGTTACGGACACATCGTCATGGGGGAAAAAATCTATCTATCTGGTCACTAAGAATCAATAATGATTTGATGGCACATAATCAAACAATCCAATAATCAAAAATAGAAAAGAGGGTTGACCTCAGCACTCAAAGTCAACATGAACACACTTAACATAAATAGAAAGGTAAGAAAGCTAACATGTATTTACATATTCAAAACAGTATGCTAAGTCATGAAGAAGGAGCTCCCATATTTGTCCCTACTGTCCTCAGCATGCTTTTATTTTCTTTGAGAATAGAACTCAAGACATTTCTCTA